TCGGTCCCAGCTGCGGGCCTTGCTCTTTGCATTTGTTTCCACAGTAGTATCGAGAAGCTCACCGTCCAGAAAGCAATGGCAAACCACTGGACGTAAATTTGCCTAGAAAAACCACAACAGCCAAAAGAACTTCTTGGGATAGTTCTGCAACGTCAGGTAAAGGATACGCAGCTAACTTTATGAGTTAGTGTGATAAGATAAACGTTGATGAGAGAAGCCAAAGCTGAACTCATCGCACAGAATAGAACGAAAAGGAGGTATAGTTTTAAAAAAAAGTAAAGGACTTTTTTCCACCCCTCAAGCAAATGGGCATATAGGGCTAGGTCTATATTCTATAGACCAATCGGCACTTGGTGGATGATGTTGTCAACCTCACGCAGGAAGCGTTTTATTCCCAGAACTACACCTCAAGGCTAAGGTCATTTTTGAAGAAAGCCGGGTTCCTACTGGACACGAACTCACGACCTTCAGATCCACAGGGGAAGCGTGTAGCCGCTGCACCACGTGACTCCCAATGGAGGTATAGATTGCGAACCAAATGACATATTTTGACACAACAAGATAAAGAAGGAATGACCGAGTTAATATGCTACAGAGTGACCTAAGGACCTGGTCAACGCTCACGACTCGGGAAAAGGGCGAGTGGAGACACAGGCAAGCTGTTTCTGATACCATTGGAACTGGAGCTCTGAGACTGCTGCTGGAGATGAGGACGGTGCGCTTATTGGAATGTCCCGAGAGCTATGACGTTGGCTCTTAAATCAAAACTCATATTGTTTTACATCACGGCCCTCTGGTAGTAAATTTATCGTTGTCATCATCATTATTATCGACACATTAGGCATATACCCTTATATTGTCCTATCCCACCCGCGTGCCAGAATTACAAATCAGTCCTGTTCTCTTATATATGCCTTTCCCTTACTCTTTTCCCATTTCTTTCGCCGGTGTCATCAAATCCTGGAGTCTACAAATATGTCGCAAAAAGTGTACAATGTTTAATGTTGAACTGAGAATCGACATCATAGCACTCCCATAAGCGCTCCTTCCCCATCTTCAGCAGCATGCGAAGAGTTCCAATTCCGATGGTATCCGTAACTGTCTGGTTGTTAATCCGTCTCTCATTTTTCTTGAGTGTTGAGTGTCGGCTAGATTCACTGGTAACTCCCGCAGCGTCATTCTGCCTAGATGGCAATGATCTATTTATGCCTCCGCAGTGTTCCCTTGTTCCCAACGGGCTCTTACAATACCTAGCTTGTCACATAGCTATTCACCACCAAGTGCAGAACCGACCAGCCTTTCTGCCTGCTCGTTTCCTAACACACCAGCATAATATGGAGAAAATATCCAAAGGACGCTAACTACCCGGGACCTGTTAAGCGATGCTCCCTACTCCCTGGAGCATGCCTGTCTCCACCTTTCTTAACCTACTATATGAGTCAGTTACAATTACGGCATGTGTTTGCAGCTGATTCTCAATCCCGCGGAAGGCAGCAGTGACTGCCTCCACATCCAATCTCAAACTAGACGTTGTGATATCATATGCTAGGCTTTGCTGCACTAAGCGACGCCCATTTGCTTTTGCTATGAACTACCATGAACTTCGTCTTTCTCTCAACACTAAGCAATCTGTACAGATAATCACATCACCTGGGAGGGAAAAGTCCAAAATGCGAACAGGCCGCGAGAAATTTATCTGACTGGTTTTCAGTTTTCACTTGTCTTAAAGAGAACTGCATGTTGTGTTTTGTTATGCTCTTTTTCTGTGTTCACCAGTTGTAAGATAGCGCCTGCTTTCCAAACTTAGGCTCTTCCTGTTCTCTTCCCCTTTCATCTTTTTTGTTGTTGTTGTTGAGGGGTAAGGGGGAAGGGGGGGGGGGGGGGGGGGGGGGGGCTACTTATAAGTTTTATTTTTTCTATTATTTAAACAGATTACTCTTTGTGAAGAAGTTTTAAAAAAAAATAGAAAAGAAAAGCCCGGGAGTGAAAAGCAAAAGCTATAAATGTCGCTTATCACAACGGAGCTAAACCTGTGATACCACGCCATCTATTGTGAGAATGGAGATTGTGGCAGTCACCGCATCTTTCCGCTAGCTTTAGAACCAACTGACTATACATATCGTAACTGCAACAAACTCAGGAAACATGTTAATGGTGGAGAACAGCAGGCTACTTAATGAGTGTCAAGCATCGCTTTAGAGATTTCCGGTAGTGAGAATTCTTAGGATCATATTTGTTTCAAGTCGTTTTGGTGTGCTGGGAACCGAACAAGAAGAAAGACTGGCTGGTTCTGTATGACGGGGATCGATGTGGTCAAAGCCCTTTGGGAGCGAATGAACCACATGGAAGCACGAATAAATACATCACTACCGTTTATAGACAACGCCAAGATCAAAATAAATACAACGCTGATAAGACCAGTCGTTTTATATGGCTCTGAAACTTGGAGTACAACTAAAAGAGATGAAGCCTTATTTGTTACAATTTTTTGGGCCCATCAAAGATGCAAACAGCGGGGAATGGAGAGAGAAGCAACAACGAAATTTAAAATCACAAGCATAATGAAAGCTAATAGACTGAAATGGTTGGGGCATATTAAAAGAATGTCAGATGACAGAGAAGTAGAAACTGTATACACAAGGAAGATGAATGGTCGTAGACCACGAGGCAGACCAAGAAGACGATGGACAGATAACGTCCAGACAGACCAGCAAACACTTCGTGTCACCAACTGTAAAGAGAAGGCCAACCAGAGAGATGAGTGCAGGCTAGTCATATCTGCAGCAATGAACCTCAAGTTCTCGAAATGCTGATGCAGTAAAAGAACAATTTCGAGAGAATGATGTAGCGGGAGTTGACCAAAGGATCTCCCCCACAGTATATATTCAGCAGAAAATCAAGATGAGCATGTATTCAAACGGATATAGGTACCAAGCATCTTCCCTGTAGCTACACACGGATGTGAGTCGTGGACTATCTCCCAGTCCTTAAGAAAGAGAATAGGGGCTTTTGAGCTGAAATGCTATAGAAAGATTCTCAAAATATCTTGGACAAAGAAGAGGAGAAATACTGACATCTTAAAAGATCTGAACATAAAGGAAGATTGGCTAATAAACAGCATCCTCTCTCGTAAGCTGAAATATTTTGGTCATATTAAGCGCCACGACGGATTAGAAAAAATAATAGCAGAAGGCATGGTACCAGGAAGGAGGGAAAGGGGCCGACCGACACGAAGATTGGCACAGGATATAGGTGACTCCTTGAGTATGAAAGTACATGCGGCGGGAAAACTGGCGAGAGACGGAGTTTCTTTCAGGCAGACTGTGGTGAGAGCGACGTTCTGCAAAGGACCTGCTACATGATGATGACGACTGGTACCACATCTATTGATTCACTGCGCTGACTGCTAAAGATGGGGTCAGGTCGCTTACGAGAATTTCCCAAGTGCTGTGAATATTGGTTCCTAACTTAGCTCAGTCCAACTCCATCTTCTAATGGTGCAACTAAATAATTATATACATTTCACAAGTTATCATTAGTGTTATAAGAGATAACGTAACTGTCACGTTTTTATTTTACGTTTACGTCACATTCTCGAATAACCCACTTCTCACGAATGTAACAACAAGCAAAATGTTACCTGTAAAACAGAAAAGTGTGACAATAATCGCTACATCTGAAATAACATACACGTGATATATATTGTATAAACTACTCGAAAACTGCCAGATATGAAAAAAGAAGCCATCTATTCTGTGTAGATAATGGCTACAATTGTCAGAAAAACCTGGTCAATATGACAGGCAGAACCAGTTATAAAGCCTGGATGTAATGATTGACCATCCTTTAAATGTTGTTCAAGGTGTCAGCAACAGTTAAGAAGCAACACATAACCATCAAGTGATCGAAAGAACTCATGTTAACATTAAGCTACTGCTTTTTCTGTTACTTAATAGCACACTAGAGATATTTAAAAAGTTAGATGTAGACATTTGGTGTTTTTTAGACTTTATAAAACGAAATTAGCAATATTTTCAAACCTGCATAAGACTTTGTATTGCAGGACAATGAACATAAATATAAGATCAGAAATAGCAACGAAAGATACATGTAAATGCAAGATAAATTTTTGCCATTTCGCTGAAAAAAAAGCGACCATTGTTGTTTCTACTGATAAATATGATCGAGGCGAGAAGAAGAAAAATAAAACGGAATATTTTATCTCCCTCGACGCCCGAAACGACAGAAAAGAAAGTGAAAAAAAAAGTAAAAAGAATATATAACATAAGAAAGTGTAATTGAAAATGGAAGAAAAATAAATCAATTGCACTTTAAAAAAGTGGCATCCAAGATAAGACATTCTTATAATTTAGATTCACCGGCTGTAAACTTCGGCGGGAAGTTCTGGTTGTTCGTCCAGTTCTGGACTCTAGTCGTGGTCAACAAACTGAGTGTTACGTGCACATCCGTTTCACAGATCTCTCTCATTTGCATGCAGACTGGTGGTTTCTTGCCTTTCAAATGTACTCCAACTTCGAAGAACGCTCCCAATTAGTCGACTCTTACGACATGCTTTTGGGTAGGCAGTGGGTATGTTGTTTTCCCCACAATGGCAACTCAAAACCCATACCAGGAGATAAGACAAGAAACAAATATAAATAAAGAAACAGCAATGAAAGAGTTTACGTGTAAATGAACTATAAAATATTGGCATTGGAGACAAGACATGGATATGCAAGACAAGATATATAAATAGCAGACAATACATAGAAAATCAAAATTAATTTTAAATGAAAGACAAGAAATAAATGGAAGATAAGACATAGAAATAGAAGATAAGAAAAGTGACACAACAAAGACACTGAAATAGATGTCAATATTGGCAAAAGCGAGATAAGAATGCAAAATTTCACACATAAATTCCAGTCGATAAAAACATCATAGAATTGCAAGCAAATAACTGAAAAGAAAAATAAGAAGTTAAAGGTAATGATACTCACCGCCCAGATTTCGTGATAACCATCTCTGTTCCATGTTCATGAAACATATCCCATAATATTTTCCCGTCTAGTTCAGCTTTCGGGTTATCCTTTATCCCATCGTCTTTGATTTCGAAAGCCCCATTATCCCTGAAATCACATACAGCAATAGTTGTTAATGACAATTTTTATAAGCTTTTATTATTTGGATTTTGTTTGTATGTTTGTCATGGCGCAAATTTGCAGGCGATTGTTTTTAACACACATCACACAAATTTTTGCACTAAAATGCAAGAAAAAATTTATCATATAAGTTAATGGACACACAAGATACAATAAATATCTTTACAAATTTCATCTTCTTTATACAATGGATAAGACAATCGTGGAGTGCCCAACCAACAACATTTAATACTCAACTTTAATTTGAGGTTTGAGGTTTGAACAACGAATCAACATCATGGCACACGGGTAGTAACCCATAAGTGCTCCATTCTACTTCTAACTCAAGTCTGAGTCCGAAGAATCTCAGCTCAGTGCACAGGCTCTGTTGCACCGTCGAGATCCTGAAATACTTTGGCTAGATTTGTATCTGCAAATTTAGCCCGGGCAGCGCTGTTAAGCTACTCTTTTCGATTCCAACTGCCAATGGATTCTTTACGTTTGCAACAATGCACTAGAGAATTACTAGAAATCCAAGTCCACCTAAAAAACTGCCAGCTCTTACCGGGGATTAAACCCAAACCTCTAGCACTCGAGGCGGACACCATGCCTCGAGACCACGCAGCCTCCTCGAGTTTGTCAAAAGCATAAGCAATAATTTGCATTTTCTTTATTCATTTGTTAGAAATACAAATGCTAGGTAATTTTATGTACATAACTTTCACATTCAGCGCCGGACCTACATAACATTAATTTGTCTAACGTCGTTCCAAAGTGGGATGCATTGTTCGTTTTTTTTTTTAAAAGCCCCATTCCGGCTTTTGCCGGTCATCCGCATGGTGGCACTCTGAGTCACCGGGTGTTTATCGCTCTGTGTGATGTCCCTGTGGGTAAAATTTACTGATTTACCGACCTACACATTCGTCCGGTCGTTCGATTTGAATAAGCCAAGGTAAACCTAAGACTAGGAAGCTTGCCTCGTTCTTGTGAAAATCGGTTATAATTATGGAAACAAAGTGTGTTGCTATTTCATTGCGTAGTGTCTGATGCTAGTATGTCATGTCTTCCGTGTCTGTCTGGCCGACCGTGTCGTTTTGGTTTCATTGTTCAGGCTTGGATCTGATAGGATGATTTATTTTTTTCCGTTAGTGGTGTTGTCGGCTCTGTGGCTCAGTCGATGCGAACGCTTCGTAATGCCGGGATGCCGGGTTCGATCCCAGCTACGGGCCATGCGCCTTGCGTCGGTTTCGACAGTGGTATCAAGAAAGCCGACCGTCCAGGAAGCAATGGCAAACTACTGGACGTAAATTTGCCTAGAAAAACCGTACAAATGCCAGGGGTTGTTGAGGTTGGTTCTGCAACGTCCTGTAAAGGATACGCAACTAACCTTAGTGGTGTTACTGCCATTGATTGGGCTGTTTCCTGAGCTATTCGTGGTGTTATTGCTGTACTAGTTGTTGTTTTAATAGCTGTCATTGCTCTTGTTCCGCAAACAGTCTCTAAGTTACTATCGCGATCAAGGCTTGGCTTCGTTAACGTTTTCTGTGTGTCATCTTCGACCAGATCGCCAGAGGAGATGTTCCAGGCCGTCGTCCTGTTGCTTGCTTGGAATGCTTTCAACTGGACCAGGTGTATTCTTGTGTACTTCTGTTGGATAATCGCTGTTTGATATAATCTGTACGCTGCTAGTCGTCGTGTCATCTCGTGCCATTTATTTAAAGTCCGTTTAGATCGTTTCACCAGTTCTTTTATGGTTTTCTTTGGTACAACCACCTCCTCGGGCAAAAAAGCCGATTCAAACTTAAAACCTTTAGACCGACAGGAAAGCGTCCAGACACTAGGTCACCGCGGCTCCGAAAGGCTTGACACTGAAAGAGGGGAGTTCCAAACTCACGCTCCCAAAATTTTCACACACACACACACACACAGACACACACACACACACACACACACACACATATATATATATATATATATATATATATATATATATATATATATATATGTATATATATATACACATGCACACATACACATGCCTACACACATACATTCACACACATACACACACATATGCAAATACACACACGCGCATACGCATACACACACACACACACTCACACACACACACACACACACCCAAAAACACAATTTGGAAAACAGACAAGCACGTCAGATTCTATATACCCCATTCAACCCTCACAGTCATTATAGTTAAGGCACATGAAACAGCTACAACAGGTATCTTTTGTTTGCGTTCACCGGCTGGCTGCAAACCCCGGCGGAAAGACATGGTTGTTCTTCAATATCTGGACTGTGGCTTTTGACCAGAACAGGAATTTTGCGTGTGCATCAGTTTTACAGGTCTTGCTTTTTTATGCAGGCTGTTGGTTCATGGTCTCTCAGGCAGATGCACTCCGACTATAAAGGAATCCCCCTTCTGCCAATTAGTCGCCTCTCACGACATGCTTGTTGGGGAGGCTGTGGGTCTATTCTTGTTTCTCCCCCCTCCCACCCCCACAATGGGGTCCCTGAACCCACACGGGAAACAGGTAATTGTAACTTGCGGTTCTGTAGGAGTAAGGAATAATGACCAAAACAAGCAAACAAGTACCATCAATCTTACCTCAATCGCCGGCAGTAGTCCGGATGCGTTAAATACTCTCCGAGGAGAAAACTTGGTAGAGAACCGGTGCCTAGTGCTCCGGAAGATGGACAGTAGGAGACCCCGTGGTATCCAGGTAGCGAAAAGGCACTTCCAAGTGGGAGAGAGAATGGAGAGATCCGCTGATAGATAAAGGACCCTGAACTGGCAGCTGCATCTTGGAAGTCTGACGGTCTCTGGTAGAGGTATGGATGGTACGCCATCTGTGGAAGTGGTTGCAGAGTTGTGATGATGATGACTAGATTATACAGGCAGAGAAAGAATTAATGGTTCGGCCTCTAGTGAGAATGCAGCCAGGCCGAACTGCATATGAGACTTTTTACAGCAGAACATCTGGGAGGAAGGCAAGAGGAAGATCAAAAAATGATTTGGATAAATGGTGTAGCCAAAACCTGCAAAAAGATGAACAAACCCAACACTTTAGCCACCCGAGATGCGCAGGACAAACATAGAAAACCCCGACACTGGGCTACAAACTGGTATCAGTGTGATGACAACATAAGAAGAAGAAGAAGAAGAAGAAGAAGAAGAAGAAGAAGAAGAAGAAGAAGAAGAAGAAGAAGAAGAAGAAGAAGAAGAAGAAGCAGAAGAAGCAGAAGAAGAAGAAGAAGAAGAAGAAGAAGAAGAAGAAGAAGAAGAAGAAGAAGAAAAAGAAGAAGAAGAAGATGATGAAAATAATAATAATAATAATAATAATAATAATAATAATAATAATAATAATAATAATAAGAAGAAGAAGAAGAAGAAGAAGAAGAAGAAGAAGAAGAAGAAGAAGAAGAAGAAGAAGAAGAAGAAGAAGAAGAAGAAAAACGCTTTAGTTTCTGTTTTGCTTGTCCATTCAGTTAACTTTATTTTGGTTAACTGATATTCTGCTTCCACGACTCTATTATCAGTAGCCCCTAAAAATTTCATAACTTTACAATATTTAGGTATGTCCTTTATTGGCTGAAGTATGTTGCTCACAGAAACAAGTGAAATATTTTTCAAAACATCTAGATTTTCAGGAAGTCTCTGCTTTAGTAATGAGATAAGGAAATCTTGACAGCGTTTTCTTAAGTTGTTCTCTTAATTCTCTGTTAACAGTCCTTTTGTTTTTAAATCATCAATTTTTAATTCGATTTAATATCCAAGGTGTGGCTTAGGAGCCAAATAGCTCTCTATAGTGCAAGTGAGCAAATCAGCTTTAAAAGTTGGCAACACCAGTCTTTTACCGAGTGAAATAGCAAGGTGAGATCATGAAGTAATTTAACTTTATCAACAAGTTTAGATTCGAACAGTTTATTAACTTTTTGCACTTCCATTAGAATAGGTTATCAAAAGAGAATGAATTTTTTTCATCACTGTACATTCCATATAGTATTTCAGCTGTGTAGCACTTTTCACTTTGTCTTGTTATTTCAAAGTGTGTCTCCAACTTCAGCCATTGCTTCATAATTCTTTCAACAGCTGGTTAAATTGATAACAATCTAGTTTTGCAATCTGACAGAATTTTCGGTGGTGTGGAACCATCATTCAAGGCTGTATATAATGTACTGTATTGCTGTTGTCTGACAAATGATTTGAAAAACCAGTAAAGTGTTTCAGCAATAAGGTATTCCTAATTCCTTGGTAAATATTTAGATGAAGCATGTGATAATGCTAGCTGCAATGAATGACGCATACATTTTATAAGTATTAACGATGGGTTAACTTCCTTCAACTTGGCATAAACGCCATTGTTTATACCAACCATCACTGAGGCATTATCAGTACCAATTACAGCCAAATTCTTCAAGCCTAACTGTTTGCTGATTAAAAGGTCCTTCAGTTCCTAAACTTTACTTTCTACATCACACTTTTCAAATTGAACTAGTCCAAGATTTTTTACAAATCGATCAAGTGGTCACAGTTGGAAATTGCGCAGTGACAAATTAAAATCATTGCGACTGATACTTCAACTTTTGATGATTCATTTATCAGTATAGTTCTGAAAACAGATGTCAGCGGTGTAAAATAATTAAATGAAACTGCAGTTTTATGCTTTTTTAGTCTCTGCTTGACTCTTTGCGTTTTGTATTTTCGCTTTAAATTCACACTTGCAGTACTTACAACAAGCTTTGGTAATATCCCCAGTTTTTAATTTTGTCATCATGCAACGACTCTTTCCAAAATTTTTGCTCATACTTTACTTTTGGCATGTTGAAAGGTTTTTTTCAAAGTGAAAGCCACATAAGAAGGTAAGCAATTATTTTTTTTTTAATCACATGAAAAAGAAACGCAAAGTCAGCACAGTGAGGATACGTTTGAAACAAAGTTAGTATGATTTACGCGCGTTTTTATTAATCACTACCGGGGCTGCCAGATATTTGTGCGTTGACCCCAGTGAGAGTTCAAAGTTCAAGTAATGGCAGTTGTCACAATGTACGTGCCAGACCAAAACAAAAATATTGCAGTAAATATTTTACACAGTAATTATTTAATTGACAATGAAAGAAAAAAAAAATCTATAAAATATCTAACTCCATATGAAAAGTTTCTAGAAAAATATTTACGATCTAAACAACAAAAACAGTATCTAAATGCAATGAAAAAGATCTAAATTTGGATATAAAAGATCCAAAGTGGCAACACTGGACAAATCGTCCGCAGCTAGGATCGAGCCCGGCATCCCGGCATGACAAAACGCGTTCTCAAAACCAAAGTCACAGACGCCGAGGTGTAACCGTTAGGCCAGATAGCACAGTTGTACTTGGGTACCACGAAACATTAACGAAGTCACCTCTTGTCACATGCTGGTGGCTCTGTTTTTAGGCGCATCGCGCTTGTGGTACATTTACAAACCTTGGAGAACTCCATATGGGTGACATCAAACCGGCCATTTTCAAGGCCCAGGAAAATACCAGGTGCTCCCCTCAGGTGGCATCTACTTAAGGCTCAATGTCTGTTAAAAAAACACACACACACCCACACGCACACGCGCACACGCACACACGCGCGCACACACACACACACACACACACACCTCATCCAGGACTCCAATAATAATAAAAATAATAAAAATAATATCGCCTTTATAATAAGTGGGGGGGGGGGGGGGGGGGGGGGGGGGGGGAGGATGGCAGTTTTCACCAGAAATTGAGTAAGAAAATATATCGGTGTTCATAAAAAGTGGCTACTGTAGTAGCGCCGAAACAATTATGCTTTGAAAAAAGCGCCAGTTTTGCGTCCTGTCGCGCGACGCCATAGAAACAGATCCTGATGATAATGCTTTTGGTGATGATGATGATTATACTACTATCACTACCACCACCACCACCACTACCACCACTACTGCTACTACCACTACCACCACCACCACCACTACCACCACTACTGCTACTACCACTACCACCACCACTACTGCTACTACCACTACCACCACCACCACCACTACTACCACCACTACTGCTACTACCACTACCACCACCACTACTGCTACTACCACTACCACCACCACTACTGCTACTACCACTACCACCACCACTACCACCACTACTGCTACTACCACTACCACCACCACCACCACTACCACCACTACCACCACCACCACTACTACTACTACTACCACCACCACTACCACTACCACCACTACTGCTACTACCACTACTACCACCACCACTACTACTACCACCACTACTACTACTACCACTACTACCACTACTACTACTACTACTACTACACTACTACTACCACACCACTACCTACTACTACTACTACTACTACTACTACTACTACTACTACTACTACTACTACTACTACTACTACTACTACTACTACTACTACTACTACTACTACTACTACTACTACTACTACTACTACTACACTACTACTACTACTACTACTACTACAAGACTACTACTACTACTACTTCTACTACTACTTCTACTACTACAAGACTACTACTACTACTACTACTACTACTACTACTACTACTGCTGCTGCTGCTGCTGCTGCTGCCGCTACTACTACTACTACTACTACTACTACTACTACTTCTACTACTACAAGACTACTACTACTACTACTACTTCTACTACTACTTCTACTACTACAAGACTACTACTACTACTACTACTACTACTACTACTACTACTACTACTACTACTACTACTACTACTACTACTACTACTACTACTGCTGCTGCTGCTGTTGCTGCTGCTGCCGCTACTACTACTACTACTACTACTACTACTACTACTACTACTACTACTACTACTACTACTACTACTACTACTACTACTACTACTAAGACTACTACTACTACTACTACTACTAGTACTACTACTACTAAGACTACTGCTACTAATACTACTAATACTACTACTACTATTGTTGATGCTGCTCCTGCTGCCGATGCCACTACTACTACTACTACTACTACTACTACTACTACTAATACTACTACTACTACTAATACTACTACTACAATTGCTGATAATGCTGCTGCTGTCGCTACTACTACTACTACTACTACTACTACTACTACTACTACTGCTGATGCTGCTGCTGCTGCCGCTGCCACTACTACTACTACTAATAATATTAAAAATATTAATCTCTGGAAGCCGCTGTGGTGTAGCGGGTAGACGATCGCCTGCTGATCAGAAGTCGTAGGTTCAGGTCCTGACGGAGCCAGACCTTTCTCCCAGGTCGATCCAGCCCTCAGTGGGTACCAGGTAAGTCCTAGGAAGTAAAGGTGGCCGGCGAGATGTTGACCACATTACCCTTACCCAGTACCGACTGGTCAATAAAATATATGTCTAATCATATATGCCCAATGAAGCATGAAGGCGTGAAAAAGGGTTCTTTTTAATGATAATCTTCTAACAATACGAAAGTGAAAAATTAAAGGCAGGAGAGAACAGAGATAGACAGTAAAATAAGTGGGACGGCAACATCAAGAAAAGGACAAACAGCGGTCAGAGAGAGAGAGAGAGAGAGTGTTAAAAATACACAGGTATGTAACCCAGATCGGCTCTGTGGCTAAGTCGATGCGAACGCTTCGTAATGCCGGGTTCGATCCCAGCTGCGAGCCATGCGCCTTGTGTTGGTTTCGACAGTGGTATCAGGGGGCCGACCGTCCAGGTGCAATGGCAAACTACTGGACGTAAATTTGCCTAGAGAAACCACACAATAGCCCGGGGCTGCTGGTGTTGGCTCTGCAACGTCCTGTAAAGGATATGCA